ATTCATGCGAATCAATATTCGGTGTTATATATTCAGGCACACCCCCAAGTGTAAATATTCAGATTTTTTCCATAATACGAAACATTTTGTATGAAGTTAAAACAAAATTAGACTGTGGATGGTAGAAGTATCTGTAGACGCATTCATAAAAATATTGTTTTATTCAAAGTTAAAGTGATAATTTAAATTTTTTAAGTACTTGCTACTTAGACAAATATAAAATACGAGAGTTCGAAAGTTGCTATAAATGAGCTAATTATTTTGATATGTGTGTTTCCATATTAGCGTGGGTATAAAGTTGGGTAAGGTAGTTCTGCAATCAACCAATTATTTATTTTTATTTATACCATTTTGGTGATACCAGTTTCAGGGTTCATCCCCTTTCTCAGCCACCTCGTCAGTAAACTTATAACACTTTAAAAAAGTCAATATTTGGTTAGATTTTTAGACTTATTAGTGTTAATATTATCTGGAAATTAATGTGCCGTTGTTTGATCCTAAAATACTTGATTTTTGACCATTATTCTTGCTATACCACACGAAAATAGTATAAATAAAAATAAATAATTGGCTGAATGTTGAACTATCTAACCTAAAATTATTTTCATCTTTTGTAGACTTTGGCCTCACAGAATCGTAGAGAACAACTTTCAAACTTACAACCCAAGCTAAAATTAACTTAATAGCAGTTATTTTAATAACAAATAAGAGAAATAAACCTACAAGAAAAAGTCATAATTGTGTTATTAATTATGAAGTAACTATTAAAAAAATCTAAAGATTGTGATGCCAAAAGTTACTTTAAATCAAATAATGGCTTTCATCCATAGAAACTTTTGGCCTCATAATTACATGACGAATAACTTTCGGACTCATGTGCTAACATACATTAAAGTACAAGGTACATGAATAAATCTAAAATCGGAAACCCAAAATTTGGTCAAATCGAGGCAGTAAAATTCATGTGAATCAATATTCGGTGCTATATATTCAGGCACACCCCCAAGTGTAAATATTCAAATTTTTTCCATAATACGAGACATTTTGTATGAAGTTAGTACAAAATTAGACTGTGAATGGTAGAAGAATCTGTAGACGCATTCATAAAAATATTTTTTTATTCAAAGTTAAAGTGATAATTTAAATTTTTTAAGTACTTGCTACTTAGACAAATATAAAATACGAGAGTTCGAAAGTTGCTATAAATGAGCTAATTATTTTGATATGTGTGTTTCCATATTAGCGCGGGTATAAAGTTGGGTTAGGTAGTTCTGCAATCAACCAATTATTTATTTTTATTTATACTATTTTGGTGATACCAGTTTCAGGGTTCATCCCCTTCCTCAGCCACCTCGTCAGTAAACCTATAACACTTTAAAAAGTCAATATTTGGTTAAATTTTTAGACTTATTAGTGTTAATACTATCAGGAATTTGATCTGCCGTTTTTTGAGCCTAAAATACTTGATTGTTGACCATTATTCTTGCTATACCACACGAAAATAGTATAAATAAAAATAAATAATTGACAGAGTGGTGAACTATCTAACCTAAAATTATTTTCATCTTTTGTAGACTTTGGCCTCACAGAATCGTAGAAAACAACTTTCAAACTTACAACCCAAGCTAAAATTAACTTAACAGCAGTTATTTTAATAACAAATAAGAGAAATAAACCTACAAGAAAAAGTCATAATTGTGTTATTAATTGTGAAGTAACTATTAAAAAAACCTAATGATTGTGATGCCAAAAGTTACTTTAAATCAAATAATGGCTTTCATCCATAGAAACTTTTGGCCTCATAATTTCGGACTCATGTGCTAACATATCTTAAAGTACTAGGTACATGATTAAATCTAAAATCGGAAACCCAAAATTTGGTCAAATCGAGGCAGTAAAATTCATGTGAGGCAATATTCGGTGCTATATATTCAGGCACACCCCCAAGTGTAAAGATTCAGATTTTTTCCATAAGACGAAACATTTTCTATGAGGTTAAGACAAATATTGGTGGATTGAGAAATAAATCTAAGAAATAAATTCATAATGATGTTGTTAAGTGTAAAATACCTATGAAAAAAGATCTAAAGACTGTGATGCCAAAAGTTACTTTAATTCAAATAATAGTTTTCATCCATAGCAACATTTAGCCTCATAATTGCATGTTAGGTAACTTTCGGACTCGTGCGCTTCGTATATGTGAAAACAGGTAATTAACCCATCATTCCGGGCACAATTTTGTTTTTGGAACGAAGTACTAGATTAATAAATTTAAAATTGGAAACCCGAAATTTCAACACAAGCCAGTGAAATTCATGAGGTGTATTATTTCACGATATGGATTCGTAAAATTTAAGGCACAATCTCAACATTCAAATTGTAATTGATAGACTCCGGCTTTATCTAGTTAAGTAATTTTATCTTTGTTGTTCAGTAACTGATTTCTGGTTGAATTAATTTTTCTAAATGAAATATTAACATTTTTATTCACTCTATTTAGTATGTTTTTAATTTTGTAAGATAATGTTTCAATAAAATCCAGAAAATAATATCTACCTATGTCTTCCTTAGTATCATGGTCCGTTTTGAACAACGAGCAACATTGTTTTTTTTTTTAATTTTGTATCTTATTTTGTCAATTAGATTGTGGATTAATTTTACTTTAAAGTCATTATTTATTGCAATTTGTTTTATGGACTGAAGTTCTTTATTATAGTTTTCATGGTTTAGATTAGAATTGAACAATATTTCAATTAAAGATGCAAAAGTTGATATTTTATGAATTCATAGGTGGTTGGAAGAATTGCAAATAATGTTGTCGGTGTATGTTTTATTGGCCCAATATCTTACAAAATTAAAAACATTCTTGGAGAAATATTAAACACGAGAAGCCAAAAGTTGCTATAAACGAAGTCATTCTTTTCATCTTTAGTACACTTTGACCCCATATGGATTCATACAAAACAACTTTCAGGCTCACAGTCCAAGGAAACATTAAATTAGTAACCCTTGTTTTAAGAATACCAAATCGTCTTTCAAATATCGGCGGATTGAGAAATTAATAAATCAAAGGGACAGATTTATAATTATGTTGTTTACTGTGGAGTATCTACGAAAAAAATCCATAGACTGTGATTCCAAAAGTTAATTTAAGTCAAATAATAGTTTTTATCCATAGCAACATTTGGGTTCATAATTACTGCTCCATTAAAATATTAAACTGGTTTTTCAAATTTCGCTTGTTTCTTGGATAAAATAATATAAAATACGAGAGGCCAAAAATTGCTACAAATGTAATTAATGATTATAAAAGAGTATAAGTAATTATTTTCATCTTTAGTACACTTTTGTCACACAAATTCATACAAAACAACTTTCAGGTTCACAACTCAAGCTAAAGTTAAATTAATTGTCGTTGTTTTAAGATTATCAAATTGTGATTCAAATACCGGAAGAAAGAAAAACAAATCTAAGAGACAATTTCATGGTGATACTATTAACTGTAAAGTACCCATGAAAAAAATCTAAAGAATGCGATATCAAAAGTTACTTTATATCAAATAATACATTTCATGCATAGTAACATTTGATCTTATAATTACATGTTTCGGAATAATGAGCTTCATATCTATCATTTCAAGTACAATTTTTGTTTTTGGAAATGAAATTCCAAGTGATTAGAAAATAAAACAGAAGCTCAAAAATGTATGGAAACGATGCATGACGTTCCAAGATATTAATTCCTAAAATTTAAAGCACACCCTTAAGCAAATATCCAGATTGGCTCCATAAGTAGAAAAATAATTTAAGAGATTAACAAAAACTTGTACTGCTAATTGTAGAAGTGCCTGTACACACAACCATAAAGGTAAATTTCTTACTCCAACTTAAACTGGTATTTTAAAATTGACATGTACGCCTTTCTTGGAGAAATATAAAAAGAGAGGTTAAAAGCTGCTAAAAAATAGTAATGTTTCTTTTTTCGAAATCGCGCAGTAATGTGCTTTTTCTATGTTCAAAAATCGGCACAGAAATTAAATGCGGTGTTGTCATATTAGTATTATCTACCTCCACAATTACATTTTACAAGGTTATAAATTGTTTTTCGGTTTAGCAGTAATTCTATACTCTTTGTTAACCCTTTTTATTAGTTATTAGAAACACATCCGGTTTATTAATTTTATAAATATAATTTATTAACTAAATTTGCGCGTAATCTCGCAACGTCGCAACCTTGCATGGCAACAGCGGATTTCTTGAAGTGCAGCGACATTCTATGGCAGCGAACAATGTGTATCCACATAACCTGTAATAAGTTTTTGTTCGGTGCAGAAACAACCATGGAAAACATTATATGGAGAATATCTCATTTTGCATACGAGTATTTCGCTGAAAAAGAAAATTCTGTGAAATCAACATTTTGGGCTACATAATCGTTGTTAAAGTCAACTCTGTTAATATAAAACAGCATAGATATAATCTAAGTACACCAAGTTCTCAAGCAAAAAATATAGGTTATGTTTCCCAGAAATCAAATATATTTACAAGAGAAAACTTACGAAAATTTTTAACACAGGCCCGTGATTAATGTACCTAATGTCAAAGGTAATCTCAAAGAAGGTCAATCACATTGTCTATAAAACATAATGTTTTAGGTATATTTTTTATTCGAAGTTGTAGGAGTATGCGGAATGGAAGAATTTGAACAATTTTCTTGTATCTACATAACCTATAATAAGCTTTTATTATTATTACAGAACAGATTATTAGCTTACATGCCCATTTTAAATGAAAGTATGAAGCATACCTCTTATTTTTGGGCACTTTTAATATTTTTGCTTGCAGAAAGATCTGTAGCAATTGCAAAATAGAGATGGATAGCAATAATAACAAGCAGTTTACATGCATTCGACCGAACTTGCAAAAACTGGCAGATAATATATCAAATTTATTACCTAAAAACTCAGCCACAGTTTATGAAAAGCGGTATGAATTTTTTTTTTTTGCGCAGAAACAACCATGCAAAATATATGGAGAAGACCTCATTGCATACGAGTATTTCGCTGAAAAAGCAAATTCTGTGAAATCTTTAACACTTTGGGCTGCATAGTCGTAGTTAAAGTCAACTCTGTTAATAAGAAACAGCATAGATATATCTAAGTACACCAAGTTTTCAAGCAAAAAATATAGGTTACATTGCCAAGAAATCAAATATATTTACAAGAGAAGACTTACCAAAATTTTTAACAGAAGCCCGTGATTAAATGTACCCGATGTTAAAGGTGATCTCAAACAAGGTCAATCACATTGTCTATAAATCATTATGTTTTAGGTTTATTTTTTATTAGAAGTTGTAGGAGCATGTGGAATGGATAAATTGAAAAATAATGACGGCATTCAAGACAAAAACGATACGCTAATAATTAAAATTCCAACGTCTAAAACTGGCAAAGCACGAGAATTTACAAATATGTGTAAAAATATTTATCCAATTGAAATATAGTAAAAATACCTAATTTTAAGACTGCACCATACACCAGACAAATCATTATTTATACATTACATTTGGATAGTGAATGCAGCAGCTGCTGCATTGTACAAATATACCTGCAAACACACTGTAACAAATTATGCAGACACCTCTTTTGACTAAAAGATATATATTTAACTTTATCCATACGTTGTCAACTTTGTTAATAATTGCAATCTCTAACTTCATAAGAAATATGAATAATCTACTTTGGTGTTTTATAGTAGTATTAAATGTTCATAGAATATAATTGCACTTACTACGAAGTAAGCTTTCCTAGTTTTAAGTTGTTTTCTTTTCTCTTTGATTATCTTAATTTCTTCAGCCTCTATGTGGCTGTTTTAATTCCAAAAAATTATTTCTGAATAAACTGATTCATACCACTTTTTCTTTCTTTTACTCGAAAACAGTTTAAACTATAACTCCAAATATTTACCTACTTTAAAACGTGTCAAGCATTCGCTTGTTGTAAATGATGCAACCATAAATACAAATTTGAACACTGATATGACAGGTTTGAGGCTAGGATGTGGTTTTCATATTCTCCCATTACTTGTTGCCTAAATCTGGCGCGAGGCCAAAAGTTATTATTGACGTATATATATATATATATATATATATATGTATAACTAATGCGTCAGTGACTAGTTTCAACTCACCGAAACCTGATTAAACTTCTCAGTCCTTTTCATCTACTTCGTTTTTTTTTTATGTTCCACCGAGTAAGTTTTATCGCTTAGGCATATAATTTATTCTACTTTACATTCAGAATTACAAGTTATCAAACGTATGATTCATTCAAGGGAACCTTTTAGTACTTTTACATTATTTTTACTTGTAAAAAAACACGATAAAGATAAAAAGTATGTTCATTAGTAGCCAACAGTGTTAATAACTTTGTCATATACGTTTTATTTTAATTGCCAGAACGACGCAAATAGGTATATAAAACCGCCAGACAAACACAAAGTCACAATTGCTTAGCAAAAATTTACAACCATGGTACTACCAATAGCAAAGTGGGTGGGCAAAGTGGCCGTAGTAACAGGTGCTAGTTCTGGAATTGGTGCCGCTATAGTAGACCGACTAATCAAAAAGGGGTATTTGTAAGTACTTTTAATGTTCGTTTTTAAAATTATATCAAAAGAAAAACTCATAATAGGTTGTAGGAATTGCTCGCCGAGTTGAACTAATCGAAAAACGCGCCAAAAGTTGCACGGCTAAAGAAAAACTGTACGCTGTAAAAGCAGATATCACCAAAGAAGAAGAAATTCTGAAAGCTTTAAAATGGGTTGAAGACAATGTCGGCCCGATTCACATTCTTATCAACAGTGCTGGAGTCATTTTGCTAAAAGGACTTACCGAAACCTCCACCGAAGATATGAAAACAACTCTAGATTTGAACGTCTTGGGTCTATCCATAATAACAAGAGAAGTAGTGAAGATGATGCAGGCTCACAAAATCAATGGACATATTATACACATTAACAGTACTCTTGGACATCAAGTGATATCGCATGCTTTTAGCATATATCCGGCGACGAAATTTGCTGTAACCGCTCTTACCGAGACGTTGAGGCAAGAACTTAATTCTTTAGGGTTGAAAATAAAAGTTACGGTGAGTGTTTTGGGTTGGAAGGGTTTGGATTTTGACGCATTTTTGTAGAGTGTGAGTCCGGGTTTGGTTGCTACTGAGATGACTACTTTAAATAAGGATATCTTACCGGAAGCTAAAGAAATGTTCGACAAAATAGCGATTTTACAACCTGCGGATGTAGTAGATGCGGTGGTTTATGCTTTATCGACCCCCGAACATGTACAGGTAATTGCTTTTAAGGTTTCCAATAGCAATTTGTTTAATCATACTTATTATACTTTATAGGTGCATGAACTTACATTAACTGGATTATAAAAAGTTTTAATGTGTAACTATTATAGATAGAAAGATAAATAAACTTTATAAATCTTTGTGACATTATTTATTTTCCATATTTTCTAAACTATATAGTTGTTAGTCCTTGCAGTCCAATTCTATACTATACAGATTCATCATTTTAATCACTAGTAGATTCAAAAGTTACAAGATTTGACAAGGCCTCATAAAAACTAGACGGGCACCAGACTGGAATTCAAAATTTTGGCTTCTTGCCTAGACAGACATCTCAAGATTTATTTACAACGTACTTTAAAATATGGAATTTGGACATAGGGAATAACATGAGGAATTATTATCTTATAAGTTATAAGTTATTCAACTCAAACTGAATTATTTTAAGAAACTCGAAATGAAGCCCTTCGACCAGCTCATCTTTCTCAACACCTCCATCGGCAGCATCATGACATGCTTTGGGGGACCGTCAAGCTAAGGATTTACTCGCGGTACCTCACTCAGTAATCACTGAACAACTCAAACTGCATTATTTTGTCCAACGTGATGTTTATTATAGGACAATTTAGACGCAATACATGCACAAAATGCACAAAATATTGTCACAAAATAAATCCATACATCGCCCCAGTACGACGCCTATGTGTTGCTTCTAGTATGTAGTATATGACTCATCGATCGGGCGACGCGGCGTTCACTAAAGGAAAGCCTACAAGCGCATGTCGCGACGGGTCCAGAAAACCCTCGAAGCGGCGTTCGCTAAAAAAGGCCTCGAAGCGGAAGTGCATGCTTAAATATAGTCTGGTCTTTTACATGCAAGATCGAGAGCTCGCATAAATGTTGCTTATTTCAATCAGCATTTTCCGCAACGCTGGATTGGAAAGTTCGGACCGACCTATTTGCCTGGACGTTCTCCGGATTTAAATCCCGATGATTTTTTCTTTGGGAATCTCTTCCCGACCGTGTGTATTCAAACAATACTACCTGATGCAAACTGAGACGCAGGCCAACAATATGACCTTCAGATTTCACCTCAAATACTGATCAACACGCGTAGGATCTTTGAAGATCGATTTACTTACTTACTGTACAGCAGCTAAGAGTGGCCTTTTTGAGCAAGTCTTGTAAATAGTGCAATACTTCTCTAGATTTGTACAATATTTCGTTACTTCATACGTTACCTATTGTTGTTAAATATTATTGTTTGTCGTTATCTAAATGGTTCGTTAAAATGTTCGCTTCAAAACCGCCAACTGTTGCTTTAATGGTAAACCTTATCATCACATGATAAAAACAAGCAGTTCCTCGCCTTTTATTCTAATCGCAGTAGACTAGCATTTTAATGACATTTTAGTAATAAAAATGCACTAAAATTCACTGGCAGTGACAACATAACCACATAAAATATTTTGGGCAATTTGTGCATTTACTGCATTTAAGTTATCCTACAATAATCTGAGTGAGGTAGCCCGAGTAAAAGCCCAGCTTGACGGCCCTCCAGGATGTGTCATGTTGCTGCCGATGGAGGTGTTGAAAAAGATGAGCTGCTCGAAGGGCTTCATCTCGGTCTTCTTTGATACGGCCTAGGTGTAGTCGGAGGTGGTTCGTTTGACGGGATCGCGCACTACGACCAGGAGTTTCGTAGGAGGATTCATGTGCTGCACCCTGCACCAATAAATGAATCAATTTATGCATTTATACCGTTTATTTAATTTGTCATACAACAATCATTAGACTGGATAAAATAATTCAGTTTGAGTTGTTCATTGATTTCTGAGTGAGAATAGAGGAATAATTTCTAAATTATCTTTGACTTTTCGATTTTCCATTTCCATGGCTAATACAAGGACGCTATCGATAAATTGAACCAAGCGCTCATTTCCAAATACGATTTTTAAAGCCTTTGAAACTTCATGATGTAATAAGACGTGAAAAAAAAATCAGTTTCAGTTGTGTTTTATAAAAACTTTCGTATTTTCAAAACTATTTTAATTTTGTACTTGTGGTGCTTTTTTGGAATAATAAAATATATCTGATGAATGTTACAACTAATTTTTTAAGTCGAAAAAAAACTGGACTGGGAAATTATTACAGAATGACCTACCTGCACTAGTTTCACTGTATACCTCTTTCGGTGGCTTCAGCGGAAAGATCTTTTTCGAAAATAAAAATGACTAAAAATTTTTTATTCCATTTTGACAATTTAAAGTGACTTTATTAACTCCATAGTAACCTTCATAAGGAGTTCATGATTCACTAGTGAAATCAAAGCGTTTGAATTCACTAGTAGAATCAAAGCGTTCAGTGAATTAAAAAAATGCAATTAAGAACAGATTTTTATTTCTTCTCCAAAAATATTAACATTGAATTAGTCTTTGTCATTGTAGTGTGAATATAAAAGTTACAATTATTCAAATTATTAAAATTTATATCAAATTTCCGATGAATGGGCAAAATAATGTCTTCGTGTCTGGAATTTGGACTACAAGTACGCTACCCCTGTCTTCAACATCATCAACTGACATGGCCACCAATTCACACATTCTACATCCTCCAAAAACTCCCACGACAAAAATTACTTTTTGCAGTAAATATTGATTCATCAGAAGCATTATCTAAAAACCTTTCCATTTCTTCGAGCGTGAACACTTTGGATTTCTTTCAGTGGCGTAACTACCGGTGTTCCACGTGTTCGGCGGAACACGGGCCCGCTGCTTCAAGGGGCCCGGTCCGGTGACACGAACATTTTTTTATTAGATTTTTTTTTATATTATTGCCCAAATTACATCCTGAAATAAAAAATTCGAAAATGTGCTGTAATCCCAAGATCGATGGTTGATTGCTATTTACGAATTTTTTGCTGCAAAGGGCGGCTTCTCAATATCATATACTCAGTAAACTCGGGTTTTAGCGACCGGCACCGGCGGTCGAAAATGCAGCAGCATCTGTTTGTAATAAACCTGTCGCAATGTCGCAATCCCATTGTAGCAAATGTAACACCCCATGTAGTAAATTAACAATCTTTATCCGACAAAAGTATGACTAATTTATGATGCAAGACAACAAAATACTTAAATTTTGTCCTCAGTTCTACAGTGAAACTTCATGCTGTAATAAAACGTGAAAAAAAAAATCAGTTTCAGTTGTGTTTCATGAAAATTTTCGTATTTTCAAAACTATTTTAATTTTGTATTTGTGGTGCTTTTTTGGAATAATAATATATATCTGACGCATGTTACAACTAATTTTTTAAGTAGAAAAAAAACTGGACTGGGAAATTATTACAGAATTACCTACCTGTACTAGTGTCACTGAAATTATCACAGCATGTTTCACTTTTCTTACAATACCTCTTTCGATGGTTTCAGCGGAAAGATCTTTTTCGAAATTAAAAATGACTAAAAATTTTTTAAGAAACAATGAGCCAATGCAGATTATCTTCATTGAATCTCTCAAATGGAAATCAAATTGCTAGAAGCTTACATGTGTCAAATTTTGTATCAACTTGTGCCCATTGAAAAGCAAGAAGAAAACAATTTTGAGATTAAAAAAAATTGGCATTTTATCTATACTTCTATACTTACTTATATTATAAAGTTGAAGAGTTTGTTTGGTTGAACGCGCTAATCTCAGAAACTACTGGTTTGAATTCAAAAAATTTTGTGTTGGAAACTCCATTTATCGAGGAAGGTTATTGGCTATATAACATCACCCTATGATTAATTGGAGCGGAGCAGCAATGAAAAATATCGGAAAAACGGAAAAATTATTCGTCCTTTGACAGCTTCCGTTGCTTACGCTGCTTATTAAACGGTTAAAGTTACATAAAAATCATGTATGATGAAATTGTTCCCTTCTAAAAGTTCTAAAAAAAAGTCCGCGACAGCATACGTCAATCTTTTAAGGTCGACTCAGTATAACCTTTTTTATGGTAATGAATTTTTTTCTAAAATAATCTAATATAAAATTTTGGTGTCACAGTGTTTGTAACCAATCTCCTCCGAAACGCCTTGACCGATTTTTACGAAATTTTTTGTGTATATTCGGTAGGTCTAGTAAACTATTTTTTAAACCCCTAAGTGATAAGGGTGACCCACCAAACTTTTTTTATTTTTTAGACATTTTTTATTTTTATTTTTTTAAGATTTGGCATAAAAAAATACATTTAACCCTAAATTTTGACCCTTCTACCACCAACCCCCATTTTTTAATAACGATATGAGTATCTTTGCTTTCATCCACAGATGCGCAATAGGGTTGCAAGATGGCCATTGAATATAATCATTGTCGTACGATAAATTTTTATGTATTTATTTTAATTTAATTTTTTATTTAACTATGTACCAAAATATTCACTAGAAATGCCAAAACAACGTTTGGCGGTTTGGCTAGTTTCTAATATTGTATATATTTTAATTATATGTCTTCAGGTAATTATTGTATTTTATTTTTTTAATTCAATGTTTCAGGTAGAATGATTTTAATAAAACGTTAGCGCTAATTGCAATCTACTCATTCTTTACTCATTATACTCGTATTTTTAAATATTTTTATTTCGCTGTTCATTAGGGGCCCCACAGTGTTGTAGAACACAGGCCCGCAGTTTGATTGTTACGCCACTGATTTCTTTGGTCTGTGCCCTACAGACTGTTGTTTTAGGAAAGCTGACACTTGATGAAATCTATAATAATGAATATTTTAAACCTTGTATTAATCATTGCGATGTCACAAACCTGCTTATATCAATATTTTCCTTCACAGATAACATCTTCTTCAGTTGGGAATAATACGACCATAGTGATGAAGATTTAGCATTTTTTGACCATTCCGAAATATAAGCCAAAATTATTCTTTAATCTACTCCTTTTGCATGCTTTCGTTTCCTCCATTCACAAAAATTCGTATACTCTTTTTCATATGAATGCTTGGATTTTGCTGGCACCACCTTATTGATAGCTTCCAAAGCTTCGTCTAGGATTGCTAAGGGTACAAACACTTCGTTTTCGTCTTTATCTTCCAAAATTCCAGACATTTTTGTCTAGGAAAACACAAATGCCGCCAGTGTCACAAATTTAGAAAAA